CCATATTGTATGAGTATCTCCTTTGAATTCAAGCACAAAAATATGTGTAGGGTTTTTTGAACAGTGCAAACCTTTTAAGTATCTGAGGATACATTTTAACGAAGAACATAGCTGAAGAACTCACTTGGAGGCAATTACAGTTTCATTAATTGTTTAGCAGATTTTGAGATTTTTCCGTTCAAATGGAGGTCAGCTAGTAGAACTCTCCCTTAAAATTTATGTGGGAAACACATTTGCTCAAGTGTGTTATGAGATATGACTGGAATGGGTAATTTTAGAATGCCAGCAAAATAAGGCTTTAATCAGTATTTCCTAATGGAAAGGAGCAGAACCACCACCTAACTCTACACTGGAGAAGCAGCAGCCAGCCAGCCACCCAACCATGCAAAACAAAGAGGGGGGGTTGCCCCCAAAACCAGCCCCCAAAGCCCCAAGCTCACCCTTCCACTCTTGAGGATCCTTTGCTGATTGCAGCCCTCTAATCTTCCAATGAAGCAGTAGTAGCCATCACTTACAATCCCAGCATCACAGCCTCCAAGCCCCATGACAGATGAAGCCATGTGCTTAGAATAATAGACCCACAGCTGGTGTCCAAGGTAGTGGAGTGGACTGAACACCAGCTGCTGGGCTTTAAATAGATGAGGTGCGGGACCAGGCAGCAGCTGACACTCATCCAGGCCCACCCTCAGCACACCAGGGAGAGGAAACAGACAACAGCCAGTGATTGGCCGGCAGCCCAGAGTCCACTGAGCTCCTGGAAGCCCCTGAAACCACTGCAGGCTAGCTGGACCATGCCATAGCTCAGCTTCATCCATTAGGAGCCCATGGCACTGTGGCCACAAAGTGGCTAGTGGTAGGTCAGGTCCTGCAAAATCTCTTCAGTTTTAGGATTTGGCTCCATACAAGCACCCATCAGGGCTTGAAGGAGGTGATTTACTCCCCCCCATCCTTGCCTCCCAAATGAAGGAAGGGGCAGATATGTGTCTGCATGTGAAGAAAGAACAGTCTAGATTCTGGGAGAGAGAGAGAAGCAGCTGCTAAGAGTTGGCTGAAGCACCTTGAAGAACAGGGTCTTTGGGGATCCAGTTTGCTTGCTCTTGTCTCTGTACACTCCACACACAAGGCATATTCTTTAACAAGTTACTATAAAATGTTTTTATGATATGGGGTGGTAATGGTGGAAAGTTCTAATTCCCACTGGGCTGCATGAAAGCATGTATGTGCAAACTGCTGTATAGCTAGAGAGACTGGCAGCCATTAATGTTGACATAGACAAATATCAGAAGAGTAAGACATATTTTTTCTATGTGACTGATTCATTCACTAAACAATTGGCATACGAACACGGTAAGGTGGCAACAACAGGTGAGGAGGTTTATGTACATTTGGTTACAATGATCTGTATGGATCTACCAAACAATCGACTCCCTTCTCACAATGGGCGAGTGGAACATGAACACCTTTAGTATTAGAAGAAGAAGAAGAGATTGGATTTATATCCCACCCTTCACTTGGAGTCTAAGAGCAGTTTACAAACTCCTTTCCCTTCCCCTCCCCACAACAGACACCCTGTGAGGTGGGTGGGGCTGAGAGAACTCTGACACAAACTGCTCTTTCAAGAACAGCTGTGCCAGAGCTTGTGACTGACCCAAGGTCACATCAGCAGGTGCAAGTGGAGGAGTGGGGAATCAAACCCGGTTCTCCCAGATTAGAGTCCGCACACTTAATCACTACACCAAACTGGCTCATATTAAGAATATTCTCTGGATATCTTAAATAGCTAATGCATTACAAGTGCTTGTTTTGCATGCAGAGTAATTGCTCTTCAATAAACTTTATTTAAGCATTATACTATGTTGCTGCCTCTTATTTTTATGACATGTATTTATAAGCAGTTGTAGTTAGGTGTTAACACCTCAGCTATTTTGAATCATAACATGCTCAATATTTGGCACAAAAGTATACGCTCTATTTTTATGCTTCCCTTTAAAAAATCAATACTTTTTCAAAAATGCAATTGTGCAGCCCTTTCTCAGGTCATATATATTTATATAGGCCATTAGGCTAGTGATAGAATGAACCCAGCTCAGAACAACTGAAAATTATGTGTGACTGCAACATTCTTTGCTGTGTCTAATAAGTGCTGCAGTAGCATCATAGCATGGCAAGATGGAGAGAAGGAAAAGAGTGAAGGATAATAAGATCATTGTTGAAATCCAAAGACCCAGGTATACTTATTTATTTATAGTCCATATTTTCACTGAAGGCACAATTAAAACCAACACAGTCAGAGCTGTATACATGCAATCAACAATGCAATAAAATTGAGTTACAAATGGGTAGAAGTGCACTCAAGAGTTGACTGCTTCCATTAAAATTGTATAATACACACATACAACAATAATGAAACACTGGATTGCACAATTAGAGAAACGGTGCAGTAGTATGGTATATTTAACTATTTAATTCAATTTATACCCCGCCCTCCCCGCAATGCGGGCTCAGGGCGGCTTACATAGGGGCAAACGCCAATATAAAACATAATTAAAACCATTTAAAATCCAACAGTACAAAACATTCATAACGAGTTACTGACTAAAGTGCTCTAGATGTTCTACATGAAATTTCAGAGATGGCATATTTGAACTGTTCAGCATCGTCTGCTCCAGCATATACAACAAAACAATGAAAATGTAGGAAAATTAACATGTCTTCAGAATCTTTGTTTCCCAATTTATACAGCCTTCATTCCCAAGAATGATTAAGAATTAGAATGGAAAGTGTTGGGAGATTCACATGTTACACTCTCAGAGTCTGAGGATCTAACTATATGTTAATTTTTTTCCTGGGGACTTTCCAAGGTGTGATAAAGAGACATGTTCTGAAGTTCCATGCTTCCCAGGTGTGTACAGGCCTGATTCAGACTCGGACCACTACACCTGGTAACTGGAGGTTTGGACCTTCCCCTTTGAGCCATTTCCCTGGTCTGGAATGGTCTGGGGGAAACTGGTTTATAGCTCATCAGCATACATACAGCGCCCAACAGGAGAAATAGCACTCCTTGAGGTTGTTTCAGGACAGGTCTATTCTGTGGAGAAAGGTGTACACTCTGTGCTCTGCACAATACTGCATATAGTATAATGTGAAAGTGTGAAGTGGCTGCTAATGTTCCACTTTGATTCAGAGCACCAGCATTGTCCCAAACCAAATCCAGCCAGTGCATACCTGAGAGGTTCAGCTCTTCAGAATTTGCTTTGCCACCCAATCAGAGGATGTTCTTGAGGAAAACGTAATATGTGGTTAGTCCCTGAGGAATCAACTGCCTCTGCTGTGGACAGTTTCATGTTTTGATCATGGACGATCTAGGTTGATGCTGGTTGTATAGAGGTCATCAAAAGCCTTCAGTAGTATCATATATAGTCAGGCTACCATAATCCATGTTGAAATAGTGAGAAACTGTTTATTGAAGACATTTCCTTCTACTTGTACTTCGTATCTCATTTTATCATTCTGTTTGGCATGACAGCAGAGTATGGCTTTTCGTTTATGCTTTCCTAAGCCTATTAAAATGAATTCAAGGCTCACAATATTGACTTCATAAGGTTGTTGTATTAATAGTATGCAGTGATACCACACTTTATATAAAGTAGCTTACTGCAAAAGTATAAAATGGATACTGATGTTTCACATTTAAATCAAAGCAGAAGTATTTGAAATCTCCTGGGTGAGTTATAGAATTATGTTGACAATGGAAAGTCAAAACCATATGCTATCATTTTGTTAGTAGCTTTACTAGAAGTCTGGATGGCAGCCATGTTCTGTGGGTTGCCTCATATCTATACTAGAAGTCTGGGTTGTTCTGTGGGTTGCCTCATATCTATACTATAAAAAAGCGGGCTTTAAGCACTGGAGGAGCACCAGATCTCTGGAGTTCAAGAGGTTCCAGTCTGGACGGCAATTCCATTATCATGATACAGTCTATATATGTTATTTCAGAAATAAAATGTGGTGTCCCCCCCCCAACTCCTGGGTATGAGGTGGGACTGACCTCGGAGCATCATTGAAAGTTTGTACTGGGCACAGAAAAGTGAAGTTTGGGTTCTGGGACACAGAGTAATACAACATAACTACTACTGCAGCACAACACCATTACTGGTGCTTCTGTTATAGTGACATCATGAATGGACTCAGATCATTGCACTGGCTCACATAGGGAAGATGAGGGATCAGTCCTACTGGATGGGCTGCAACCATACCTTACAGATGCCACACAGTACATTATATAAAAATAGGATATAGCACAGAAATATGTGGAGAGTATGGCAAAAAGAAAGCAATAGTGGACAGAAAATTGAATTTTGGCCTGGAAAACCTGGAATTGAGGTCTACCTCTGAATAAATCACTGCCATGAGCCCAGTAGCTATACATCTGCTGCTGTGCATGCAGAGCTTTTACACCTCTGCTTAAGATATGATTTGTAATGAAGATGTGTATAATTGCAGATCTGCTTATTCTTTATCCCATGGTAAAGGCAGTGAATATTACTGCCACAGTAAGCAATGGTCATGCTAAGCTTTGTGTAGGCGATGCAAGCACAATATGCTTGCAGCCTGCAGGTTAGGTAGATTTGCCAACAGGCCCGGAGAAAAAAGACCTGTCCCATTAATATAGGGTTAATGGGATATTATTTACCAGGTGATGTTAATTACCCTTCCTGCCACAAAAAGCATCAGTTGTTGCCACTCAGCAAACTTCCATGGCAGAGTGGGGATCCCAACCTGGGTCTCCTAGATCCTAGTCTGGCAATCTAACCACTACACAACACTGGCTTTGATAAGAAGGAACTAAACCACTGACATTGTGTGTCATTGATAAGAAGGAACTAAACCACTGACATTAGTCATTGTGATTTGTTCATGGAGATGTTACCACAGCACCTTACTGAAAGAATTTAAACATTTCAATTGTGTTCTTAATGTTTCCATTCTGGTTTTTTTAGGCTAAAAGGATGGTGGGGTCATGAATTCAAAACCCGATTTCTCATGGAAAACAGTATGTACATTTTCCCTTTGTGTTAGATACAGAGGTATTTTATGTTTTGTTTGCAAGCCTTGTAATTATTGCACCAGGATGAAGGTGCTACAAAAGGGCTGTAAAACTCTATCAACACAGTCAATTTATATCTCAGACTTGATTTTTTTTAAAAAAGGTTATGATGAAGTCCAAACTCCTGCCTCTCCATAATACATTAGCACAGAGACATCAGAATCCATGGTTTATGTGCCCTGAGGTTTTTGTTTCTGTTTGGCGTAGTGGTTTGGCATAGGCAGTTTGGTATAGTGGTTAAGTGTGTGGACTCTAATCTGGGAGAACCGGGTTTATTCCCCACTCCTCCACTTGCCGCTGCTGGAGGACCTTGGTCAAGCCATAGTTCTGTCAGAGCTGTTCTTGAAAGAGCAGTTCTCGAAAGAGCTCAGCCCTACCTACCTCACAGGGTGTCTGTTATAGGGAGGGGAAGGCGTTTGTAAGCCACTGTGAGACTCCAAGTGAAGAATGGGGTATAAACCCTACCTCTTCTTCTTAATGTTTCTTGGCATATGTGCCCCCCAAAATCATTAGTGTTCTTATCTCATGTTATTGGCAACATACTAGACTCTGAATTTTTGTCTTGCTCCCCCATAGGATTTAGTTTAGAGCCCTCCTTCTCAGGTTTGCAAGGCTCTTACCAAGCATATTTCCCCCCGACCCTCATGAGGTGCAAACCATCTTCTGACAGAAAAACTTCATCTTGAAAGTGTAAGCCATGGTCCAAAAAAACCAAACCTTCCTGATGACACCATCTACATAGCCAATCATTTATTTCCAGTATTCTTCTTTCCCTTCCTAAGACTTACAGGGCTCTTTTTGTAGAAAAAGCCCAGCAGGAACTCATTAGCATAATATGCCAATCCCAACACCAGAAACTCATTAGCATATTAGGCCACGCCCCTGCCAGCACAGCTCATTAGCACATTAGGACGCACCCCCATGTTACCAGAAGTGTGGTTATCCAGCCACACCCACCTTTGGCTTGTTATTCTGTTTACCTTGTTTGTTGTCAAAACCCAGGGCTTTTTTTGTAGCAGGAACTCCTTTGCATGTTAGGCCACACATCCCTAATGTAGCCAATCCTAATGAATTTCTGCTGTTGGGTGTGGGCTATTATGCTAATGAGTTCCTGCTGGGCGTGGCAAACTTGGGAGCCAGCCGGAACTCCGTTCTTGTGCGTTCCTGCCCAAAAATAGCCCTGCTAAGACATGACCTTCAACAGGAAGAACTGACAAAAACATAACCTGTGCTCCCAAGTCCTTCACTTTTTAACCAGAGTCACATAGTCTCTTTTAATACGGTCTGGGCTGTGCCTGGCAGTATCATTTGTTCCCACATGGATGAGCAAGAAAGGATAATAATTTGTGGCCTTGATGAGTCTTCCAACCCTTTCTGTCACATCCTGGATGCATGCACCTGTTAGACAGAATACCACATGAGACAACGTCTGGTCAGCACACTTTATCCTCTGCTCCTCTCAGTAGGGAATCCCCAATTACCAGAACACACCTTCTCCTATATTGGGGAGCAAAACCTTGAGTCCTCTCTCCATAGGCACCCAAGAGATTTCCTTCAAGCTTTGGGGAGGTTGGGGGAGTAGCCCTTATTCCAGTGGTCCAGAATCAATATCTATGGGGAGATCCTGGAACTGATTGCTTAGCAACAGAGGCTCAGATAGCTCCTGATTTTCCTGCTCCTGTGGGTTAAATTCTCCCAAGATCCCTCCTCCTATTTTGGGTACTCCTCCATTTGAGATACCTTTCCTTCCTCCACCTGTTGCCCTCCCAAGAGTGCTTCATGTGTCTTGCTCATGAACTCTTCACCTTCCCTTATAAAATTGAGTGTTAGCAAGCATGCCTCACAAGCCCATAGCTAGAAATTTTTGGTTAGGGTGGCAACAAGGGGGCAGCAGCACTATAATTAGAACTGGATCCTGGCGATCTCGCACAATTATTACTGTCTCCAATGAAATTAAATCAGTTTATCTCCAGTTAAGAAGCATGCTTTCTTTTGGGGACCCAGGTTCAAATCCCGTTCTGTCATGGAAGCTTGCTGGGTGACTATGGGCCAGTCACATACTCTAAACCTAACTTGTCTCACAGGATTTTTGTGAGGATAAAATGTAGAAGTAGACAACAATGTAAATCCCTTTGGTCCTCAGTGGAGAGAAGGAAGGGTATAAATGAAATTTCTGGACTTAAGACCAGCATCAGAAAGACATCCCCCTCTTCAGAAACACCTACCATCAAGAGAAGCCCATCCAATTGCTTCTGCTGGGTCAAAGTCCCCACAAACCCCTTTACAGCAACAGCAGACAATAGCAGGGAAGGCCTCTCCTGACAGCTCGGACCCACAAAAGGAGGAAGCAGGGACAGGCAACCTAGGGAGGTGGGAGGCAGCCAGGAAGAAACCTGGGGAGATATACCCAGGCCATGGAGAAACCACAGTAGAGGGTGGGTCCAGCAGTCAGCACTAGGCAAAACAGACCCTTCCCAATCAACAACAATCACCTTCCACAATCAGCTACAACCCAGGCAAAAGAGACAAACAGAAACACTTACTCAAATAGGCACCACTCTCCAGCAGGCTATACACACCCGCACACCGTCAAACCACTGTCCTTCCACATAGTAACCTCAACTACTTCTCCCCAGCAGTTAAGGAAAGGCGAAAAGAAAAAACACCACTCCAGTAGTTCTCTTTCCTGCTCCTTCTCAGAGCTCAGTTGACTGTGGTCTGCCTCTGGAAAAGAGGAGCCTTACACAGTTGAAGGATTAACCAGCAGAGGATGGGGCCAGCAGTCAACCCCAGGCAAAACAGACCCTCCCCAATCAGCTACAATCAGCACTCCAGCTGCTCTCTTTCCTGCTCTTTCTCGGAGCTCAGCTGACTGTGGTAGTAGTAAGAGTAATTGAATGTTCTACCTTACTCCCCCCATGGAGTTAATTAAAGGTTCCGGTGAAAGGGTTTACACTGGGAAAACATTCCCTCTCCCAGTCCCTATTCCCCTTTCTTCAAAGCAGCTACACAGGACTTTTTGTTGTTTTTTAAAGGGAGACCCTAATTATGGGTCTCTGACATGTCATCTTGTTTGGCCCACAGTCTTTGTGGATAGTGGAGGGGAGGTTGTTTATTGTCTTGTTGGTATACATTTAGGAGATGCAAACCAACATGGATCTTATTTCCCTTCTAAGGAATCCTGGTATATTTATTTAATTTAATCAAGGTACTTTGAAAAAATTAATAAAATATTTGAAATAGAATTCAAGAAGCATCGTTTGATCAACTGTGGACCCTATTTATAATGTTATGGTGTTAATTTTACCTTGGGATTAAAAAAAACCCCTCTCATTTTCTCTCTTACATGACATTGCATGGATATATATTGTATAATTAATATTTGGGTCCTCTTATTTTATCAGCCTCATCTGCTCATCCTTATCCTTATTGAACAAATTATCAAAACAAACACTGAGGGAGTAACTAGATGCTGGGAGACACTCTGAATATCTATAGGTCAAAAGGGCACCTGCACAAGGCCTTAATTTAGATAGGAACATGTGTGGTGGGAAAAGACATTTAACCATTTCTTTTTCCACACAAGTTTATCAATCAAAATTGAAAATGAAAAAGACAGGAAAAAGACAGGCAAAAATAGGATCTTGAGATCTGAGATTTTTTTTTCCTCTTCAAGTACTAGCAGCCTGTAGTTTCAATCTGTGAAAGATAAAACTCTTTCTTCCCTCTTGCCTCACAATGACTCCAAACTAAATCAGAGCCTGCCAGGTATTATTGGCATTTTAAAATGTTGGGAGGAGCTGACCATTGATCTTTCAGAATTTCATTTACTATGATCCTGATCTGCTGTAAATAAAACAAAATTAATCTCTAGTATGTCAAGTGACTAATCATAGTTATTCCTCTTCCTCCATTTTTTTTAAAGCTGTAGTCTACTATTGTCACAGGGCCAGTGAAGGGGGGGGGATCTCACAAGAAAAGCTGAGAAATGATCTTTGCTTTACAGAATTGCAACTGACTCCTGGGATCAATGGATTTCGATTATCAAATCCTCCCATATTATTGGTGTGTGCTCTCCAAGCTAGTTTAGAAGTAAGTAATTACTTTCACATGACTGATGAAGTGCAAACAGATGAAGAAACCCTGCTGTTATTAGGGGTGCCATCAGATTTCTCAAGTTTGTTAGTCAATTTGAATATCCCCATTTCACTTTTGTGTCTCCATTTGCAGATCAGTTCCATGATCCTTTATTTTCTTACTATTTTCTCTCGGTTCTTGCCAGATTTTCCTGTAAAATGTATACATTTTTCAATGTGATTTGTACTTCAGATCAGCACTCTACATTATATGCACATATAACATATGAGTGTGCTTAAGCCAGTGTTCTGTAGCGGCTGAAAGCTGCAGACTCTCATCTGGAGAAAGCTGCAGACTCTCATCTGGAGAAAGCTGCAGAACCTCATCTGTCCTCTTCAATTGTGAAAGAGCATAAAGTTAAAACAATTTAAAAAATCATTTTGAGAGTACTTCTTAGATGCCTCTGTGTGCCTTTGGTATCTGCCCAGAAATACAACTAATATTGCAATCAATTCTTGTGGATACTTCTCAAATAGATGCCAGTGACTGTGCAGGTACAGAAAGCAGGGAATGTATCTAATGTCAGTAATCAAAATGATGCATCTGACTACACAGAGAACATGAGCAAAGCATTTTAATTATTTATATGCTACCTTTCTCCCCAATGGGGACTTAAAGGTGCTTAGATTGCTCTCGTTCATTTTATCTTCACTACAACTCTACGATGTAGATTAGGCTGAGAGTATGTGACTGGCCAAAAGTCCCCCAGAAAGCTTCCATGGCAGAGTGGGGATTTGAACCTGAGTCTCCTAGCATTACACTCTAAGCCAGGGTTGTCAAACCCAGGGCTTTTTTTGTAGAAAAAGTCCAGCAGGAACTCATTAGCATAATAGGCCATACCCAGCAGCAAAACTCATTAGCATATTAGGCCACGCCCCCTGACTTTACCCCTCATTAGCATATTAGGCCACACCCCCTGACTTCACCCCTCATTAGCATATTAGACCGCATTCCCATGTTACCAGAAGTGTGGTCATCCAGCCACACCTACCTTTTGCTTCTTATTCTGTTTACCTTGTTTGTTGTCAAAACCCAGGGCTTTTTTTGTTGCAGGAACTCCTTTGCATGTTAGGCCACACACCCCTAATGTAGCCAGTCCTAATGAGTTCCTGCTTTTGGGTGTGGCCTATTATGCTAATGAGTTCCTGCTGGGTGTGGCCAACTTGGGAGCCAGCTGGAACTCCGTTCCTGTGCGTTCCTGCCCAAAAAAAGCCCTGGTCAAACCCATTTGTTATGAAGGTCGGATCTGACATAAATGTAACTTGTCAGGCCGGGCCAAGGCCATGTGTGCTGTAAAATGTAATGCTAGCTATCGGAGATATAAACTGCATAAAGGACAGCAGCTGGTAAGCTCTGAGTTGGTGTATCCTCACTGCAAGACTCCATGGGTTGGGAGGGGGGTTCAAAGGAAAACCCGTATGGGCGGACTGGAAAGCCAGCGGTGCAGCACTGGGTAGATGCTCCCACACTGCTTGACTGCTACAGACAAGGTTGTTCTGCCACACTGAAGCCACAATTGGAGTGGCTCCACCCAATCCCCAACGAACAGTCTCCTGTTTCCTCTCTTGCACTAGTTGCTCACAGGCCACATAAGAACCCTGGACGGGCCTGTTCCAGCCCCCGGGCCTTACATTTGACACCCCTGCTGTAAGCACTACACTACACTGGATCCAGCCATGACCTCAGGAAATACATCCCTCTTTTCTGGTAATCAAGAAGATTTTGTTTGCAGACTGTGCAAGCACAAAGTTCTCATAAGCTGAAATGTCATTGTTTTATTTATTTATTTAAAACATATGCCATCTTTCCACTCATAATTTTGCTACCATGACCAAGAAGGCCTTTTTTGAGCTGCCACTCATCTAGCCTCAGACAGTGAGGGCACTAAAAAAAAAGGACTCCTGAAGATGACTGCTGTGGTCATACTACCCAGGCATGTCTTGGTCTTGAAACACATCACTGTCACACCAGTGGAAAGCTGCTTGTGTTTTGCCCGCTCCTCATGTACCCCTTAAATTCAGCACTGTATGAAAACTGCATTTGCTTTAGATCCCTATTCCACATTAATCTCCTTCCTTAATTTTCCTTTTTTCCCTTTCTTCCACTAACCTTGCTTCCCTCCTGCTTTACCTCTCGCCTCTCTATAACTCTCTCTCCTTTTCCTCTCTCCACATAGTGACTTATCCATACCTACTGTATCCCATCCATCATCCCATATCATTCACTTGCCCATCCCTAAAACAGTCCCTCCAGTACACCTTTGATGATCATCTCTTCCTCTGTTTTTTAATTAGTGTTGGCATTATTCAGATCACTGGCAATCATGTCTCAAGCACTAAACCTTACCAACATCTCTATACAGCCCATCATTCTACTGGCATTCCACCATATCACCATTCATGCCTTCTTCAAAGCAATGTTACGCCTATGCTCAGGCTCCATTATTCTCAAGCAAAATGATGAATAAGGCATCCAAAAAATAGGGGGAACACAAAAGATCCTGCCCATCACAACCTCCTGATTAACCTTAGCTAGCCTAGCCGTGACCGGTACTCCATTCCTTGCAGGATTCTACCTAAGACACAATTATTGAAGTCATAAACACATCAATGCTAAACTGAAAGGTGAGTGAACTCACCAGAGTTGACTCACCCATGGCGTGGCTTGCAAAAGCCATGTAAAGGGATCTATATATGGAGGGGAGGTCTCTTGCTGCTACATGCAGATCTGAGAGGATCAGCTGGGGCAGTGGGGGCTGAGAAATCCATACCACCAGCCATTAGGTATAGCTGAGCCAGAATAAAATCCCCCCCCCCGCTTTTATTTTGGCTCAGCTATATTGGTAGCCAAATCAGATTCTCTAATCTATATTCAGCTGAATAAATACCTGAAAAATACTGATAAATTATTTTTCAGGTATTTATTCAGCTCGCTTTATACTGAATGCACACCCCTAGTTATGATAACCACAATGGTATGATAGTTATGATAACCACAACTCTCACGAAGCAACCTTTAGAGATTTAGAATACCAAGAGGTCCACTTCATGTTGTGCTATAACAGACTGCCTTTAGAGTTTAGTGCCCTCTCCCAAATATCAGATGGCAGGTGGATCACTCACTGTTTGAGAGAGGGCACTAAACACTTAAGGTGACTCCCTTCCAAGGAAGCCAAATATTTTCCAGTGGGTTTATTTGAATTTGGGGTCACAATTTGGAATACTAGATTTTTCTGCATATGTGGATGTTCCTTCAAATATGCAGAACCCTTATCCCCTTGTGTGGCTCTGTGATAAATGGGTCAGGGATTCAGAATTAAGATACAGAGATGATCGTGCACTTTGCCCCTTAAATGCCCAGGCAAAGCCTGATTTCTGTCAAAAATTTAATTTAGAGTTCCTCTAATACACCTTTGCATCTTTGAATGAAAAGTGTGATTCCATACCTTTTCATATCCTGTGCTGTACACAGTTTTCATAACATACGTCAATTAATCTCAGTCTCCCAATGTATGGGTTAAGGGCATTTTGAAGACAGAAAATCATTTTCAAATGTCACCACAAGTCTACAAAATAAAATCAGAGAATCACAGAAAAGTCAGTATTTTCTCTTTTGCCTGGTGTTAAATTCTACAACAAAAATGAGCAAGACAGCTCAGTAATACATTTTGACAATTAGTTTTGTTTGTTCTTAAACATCGCTTCTATTTTTTCCCCTAAACTTTATATGACCTTAGAGATAAACTAAATGCGACTCTGCTCTGACCCAGATGGTGCTTTTCAAAAGGGGAGGGGGCTGCCATTCAGCCCACTGCAGGGGGTCAAAGGCAATGAGAGCTCATCAGTTTCTGTGGACTTGGCTTTTTGTATCTGCATTACTCTTTTGGCACATTCAGAATTCCTTTGTGTTAATTGCTGTGGTACAGTGAAATAGAATTTCTATCTGGCGAAAAAATGACTTTGAAAATTAAATGCCATCTTACTTTGGGACACATTAAACAGATTTAATTTTCTAAAGGAAACACTGTATGTGTTAGTTGACAAGTACTTTCTCTTGCCTTTTATGGGAAAGTATTTTTAATAATCTAAGAATCATCTATAGCATTCCACAGGAATAGCATTTACATGGAGAAACCTGGTGATAAGTAAAGTTGAAAGCGATGTACCGTTTGAAGAAAGAGGATTTAGCAGTCTCAAAGCAGGTCCACCACACCAGGAAACTCCCTGACAGAGGAATTAATAGCTTCCAGTGCCAGAGTTGTTTCCAGGTTTTGGGAGAAAGTTTTGTCTCTTGAGATTTAGTGATCCAACAGCTGTTGGGAATTTGTGTGGCACAGAGGGTAAGGGACTGAGTTGTGAATCATGAAGTCCCTGATTAAAATCGTTTCTCTGCCATAAACTCTCTAGGTGGTTTGATGATCCAAAAATCATTCCATCAACCTCCCCGTCTGAAGAACCCTTTTCTCTACAGTGTGAAACTTAAGCCACAGCTGGCAGTCATAAAACCTACTGATGTGGCCAGTAGGGTGGGGAGATAGCCAGAGCCTTGGAACAGATCGTCATCAACAATGATTATTCCTTCAAGGGATAAGTTTTTTTAACAGCCACATACACCCCCCCCCCCAAACTGAAATCTTTGTGCGGGGAAATTTACCCAGTAGGAGCCTACACAATACATGCCAATGACATAACCTGCTTTTCAAGTCTGAAGACATAATGAAAATCAAACAAGCATCCTTTGTCTTGTCTTTCTTTGTTTTGGAGCTTAAGCTAGCTCATAAACTGTACCCCTGATCTAAGGGACCCATGGGAAGAGACTCTAGTTAAGAACAAGAATTTAGAAAGAAAGTACAAGGAATGTGACAGCAGCAGCAAGTCTGCCCTCCCTTCCCCTCACTTACCCGTTCCCTACCTAGCTGTGCTGTACTGGTGCACTGCAGCTTAGCAGGGAAAGGGGGAAAGCCTTTTTTATAGGGATTAAGCCACTCCCCAACCCCACTCTGCATATTTCCCTTTCAGCAAGATTAAAATAGGTTTATTTTTAATCTGATTTAAAGAGAAATACACCAGGAACACCATCATGTAGACTTACTTTGAATACACAAGAGCACCTGACTTGAACCTCTCCTCTATCTTTCTGTCAAGGTGGTCTCTGTCTGCAAATGCCTGAAAGTTAATTAATTTCCAGCCCCAACACTAATCTCCCAAGCTTCAAAAGTAACTTTCTGCACAATTTAAGTATTTTATGTGGTAGTTTAATTGCCGCAAAGAAGTACTGTTTACGGTTTTGTTTGATACATATATTGGTTTTATGGCAATGATGCAGTTGTTTATTTTACATGTAGGTCTTTGGACAAACTACACTGAAACGTCTGAGAAAGAAATCCATTCTTCTTACTGGTTACTTGGAATACTTGATAAAGCATTACTACAGTGAAGATAAAGATGATCTTGAGAAGCCCTATGTGAAAATAATCACACCTTCTAACATTGAAGAAAGAGGTTGCCAGCTCACACTGGCCTTCTCCATTCCAGTTAAATCTGTCTTTAAAGAACTGGAAAAAAGAGGTGTTGCTGTAAGTATGCAAGCAAGCCTTCATGTTGGTCATTTCTGTGTAGTTCATGGGGCTTGTGTGCTGTATTAATAGTCTTAGAAGAATATCTTTATTGTTTTATCTGAGACCTAGAATACTGATATGATATGTCCCAACTCATAAATGGTCTGAGAAACTGTTTTGTTGTCCTGTTGGTCCCAGAAAAGAAATATTTTAAATAAGGTGATCAGTGTTACCTCTGAGCTGAGTTAGTGTGAGCTAGCTCACAGTTCTTTAGCCTCTGGCTCACACATTTTTGTCTTAGCTCAGGAAGGATGGCTCCAGAGCAAACTAATTTATGCAGCAGACCAATCACTCACTCACAACTTTAATGCCAGTAGCTCACAAAGTAGAATTTTTGCTCACAAAACTCCACAGCTTAGAGGGAACACTGAAGGTGATACCTTTTATTGCCAGCTTTTCAAGCATGAAAAATACAAGCATCCAAGAAAAGTACATTTCCAGAACAAGGTATCACGTGAAACAACTGATATTGCAGGCCCAGCACCAATGGGGGAGGGGAAGAAGTGAGGCGAACAGAATACAGACACATTGTTTGAGTTGAAATGGCCACAATTTTACTGACTACAGCTGTCAGAGCCTTGGAACAATGTAGGGCAGTGGATGCAGACATTACCCGACCCGCCTGCCAGCCCTTGGACACCCAAAACCCTAGCCCAACTGCTGAGGGAATACCATGGGATGGTAGGCCACAGGATTCCACATGGGTGCAAACCATTGCATGGTATTCCCCTGCCACTTGAGAAAGAGGGTTTCCTGGCAGCTCCCAAGATGGATGTGTCCCTTGAAAGCTCTCATCTCTCAAATCCCTTAAGGAGATCCCTGAAGGTGGGCACACAGGCTATGTCCCCCCACCATGGATCTGGCCTAGTGCTGATACTAACCTCCAAAGGAAGTTTAGAAAACCTATTGAGGGCCAAAAGTTAAAAACATAAGTAAGTGTACAAATAAGTGTTTATTTCAAAGACATATAGAAACCTTGTAGGGGGCACAAATAAAGCCTCATAAAATGTTCAAAGTTACAAATACACAAAAAAGGACAGTGTATGACCTGACACATTTCGGCTCACAAGAGCCTTCTTCAGAGGTCAAATAGTACAAAATACACCAAGCAACAGAGTCCCTATAACACATGAAAGGCAATTAACGATAAATAAAATAGGACCAAAATTGGAATGTTCCAATATGAAATGGAATGACACATCAAAAGACTTCTGTTTGGGGCCACACACATATCTGGTTACATATTGATGGTTACATATTGATGGCACATTGTCCCTGACAAGGCAACTTTATTTGCACCCCTAAACGGGAAGGTACATATTATTTCCAGTATATACAACTACTTCTGACACAAGGCCAGATATATTTGTGGCCCCAAATAGAAACCTTTTGATGTGTCATTCGATTCTATATTGGAACATTCCAAGCTAAGCCACCACCTGATTGGCTGACCAAGAAGGTGAGGCACTGAAGGACTGAGGTGCCACAGAGGGCCCCAGGAAGGCCTTCTATCACCTACCAGCATCAGCTGGTACCCCATTTTGCCTCATCTCCCTCCCCACCCCATGGGTCTGCAAATGGGGCCTCAGGTAAGTCTGGGGCCCTTGCTTATATTGACATTTAAACATGAGGTTATGGCACCTTTAAACCTGTCTCATACTATCTGTATTGTATTGTTTGTGGCCTAGGACACTGATTACTTGAGCTGGTGTGACAGTTTTGAACATTTCATTCTTCAGAGAGTTCCCAGTTTTCAGTCCATCTTATGTGAGGGAACATTTGGCAGGGATTAAGGTCTGTCAGAGGGACAGGATGATGATTAGGATGAGATCCTGTAACCAATGGAAGCTAAAAAGTAGGGTTGCCAGCAATGTTCCCTCTAAGCTCTGGAGTCTTGTGAGCAGAAATTCTACTTTGTGAGCTACTGGGCATTAAAGTTGTGAGCGAGCGGTTTGGCGGCTGCATAAACTGGTCTGCTCTGGAGCCCTCCTTCCTGAGCGAGGACCAAAATGTGTGAGCCGGAGGCTAAAAAACTGTGGGCTAGCTCACACTAACTCATCTTAGAGGGAACACTGGTTGCCAGTCCATCTTCATCCCCGGTGGGGGAATTTGGAGGATATTCCCAGAGGGGGCAGGGCATCCCCAATGTGATGATGTCACGTTGGGGACATCCTCACTCCAAGCCCTGCCCCCAAGAACTATCCCTGCGGCCACCCCTCTCCCTAATGTCTTGCAAGATTTAAAGGGCCCACCGATCAGGTGGAGGGCCCTTTATATCTTGCAAGAGGGGAGAGGGGTGGACGCCGCTGCATGCCTGGACTCCAAGCCCGGTTCCACTGGCTGCAAGCACTTAAAGGGGTCCCTTTAAGTGCTCGCAGCTGGCGGGTCCCTCACGTCCAGTCTCCAAGTAACATTGCCACTTGGAATTCAGGCACGTGTCCTGCAGCTGCCCCTCTCCCTCCCCTCTCTCAATAGAGAAGGGAGAAGGGTGGCTGTGGGTGTTCAGGCTTGGGGGCAGAGCTTCCCCTGTTGACCAGTTTGCCAGCAGCGGGTTGAACCACCCCCCAAAGTGGGTAAACCCTGCCATTCTGGGGGGTCTGGCAACCATACTAAAAAGAGAGCCTGGAAGCAAAAAGGCTGAAGAAATAGTGCAGAGGTGGAGATGAACAGAGAGGGCGAACCTGAAAGAAAGTAGGGTAGGTGGAAGAAAATGTGGGATGGGGTGAGAATGAGACAATGGGAAATGAAAACAATGCCAGTAGCTCACAAAGTAGAATTTTTGCTCACAAGACTCCACAGCTTAGAGGGAACATTGCTTCCTTCCCCTCTTCCCCACTCTTGGCAACTTGCCTGGAACTGCTCCAGGTGGGCTCGATGCTTCCTTCCCCCCTCCCCACAGCAGTGTCTGGGGGCCACTCTGAGCCCTGAGCAGCACTCAGTATCTGCTGCAGCTGGACCTGGAGGGGCTCCCGACATCTACCATGGCCAGGAATCCAAGCCCCAATATGATGTTCTGTCAGTGGGACATTGCAACTGCAGCATTGGCCCATTCTGCATCTAGCATTTGCTCCATTGTTTGCCAAATCCACACTGGAAAAGAAAAATATTCAGCTCAAAACTACATTCAAATACCCTAGGCCAATGCCGTACTGACTACAGAGTCATGCCTGAACATCCATAAAACAGCCATAAATGTATGCAGACAGCAGGGGTCATTTCCTGCAGGAACACACAGAAGCGGAGCTCCGGCAGTAAAGAGCCCAGGGAGCGGGCACATGCAACAAGCCCCACCCCCTGCCCCCAGCAGCCCTCAGTCAGAGCAAGAAGCAGCCAGGTAAGTCGTAGAGCTCCCCCCGGCAGCCCGATCCAAAACAGTCCAGTGGCACCTTTAAGACCAAGTTTTATTCAGGTACAAGCTCTCCCTCCTCCGCGAGGACAGATCTGCAATTTCCCCCTTCCAATAGCTAACAATCCAAAACAGTCCAGTGGAGCCTGAGTGCTGAGTGTTGCCTTCTGACACACTTCCGGTGATGTCAGGGGGTGTGGCATATGCTAATGAGTTATGCTAATGAGCTCCTGCACCTCTTTTTCTACGAAATGACCCCTGGCAGACAGTACCATAAAACCAAGAGGTCAAAGGAAGTGAAACCAGCATGCAGTGTGGAGGCTACCATAAAATCTGGCAATCAAATAAAGTGAAAGTGTCATGCAATGTAGAGGGGAATTTCTGTTCCAACTTGGGTTTGGTAAAACAGTGGAATGAATGCTAGATGCCAAATGGGCTATTGTCACTTAATAAATGTTTGGGAATACAAGCAGATCTGCTGAGAAGGGAGGACCAGTGGGGAGGAAAAACCTTTGGAACATCTGGTTTGGGCTGGGTTTGGGTGGTGTGGTGGAACTCTCTAATGGCTCTTGGCAGCTCTCACATCAAGAGCCAAATAGCACTGCTGGGACAATTTGTAGAAGACCTGTAAGTACATTGTTCTGCTTTGAAATGTAAGCCATCATTGCCTTCACTGATTTGCTGGCTACTTCCTTTGGTAACCAAAAAGTACAGTGCTCAGAAACAATATATACTTTATCTGCCATGTGCTGGAGATGAACAATAGTAGGGGGCTTCCAGTATTTTGCTTTTTCTCTCCCTTATTGCATCTGGCGGGACACTCCAAAATTCAGCTGCATAGATCTTGGCAATGTTCACATTTTATTATCTACTAGAAGTGATGTGAAGAGGTGAGGAAACTGATCTGACTTACTTTATAGTTGACAAATCCTTTCTCGTTCATTATACTTCCCACCCATGACCCTTGTTCCTCAAAAAAATTCTCAGAACACCAGAATTATTAAATGCTAGGCCTCTTGGAGCGACCACTACTTTGTTCACTCCCCCAGATAGGTATCAGAGACAAGACGATCAAAGATGTGCTCTTCTTTTCTCAGAACCCATTTATGAAAAATAGTATGCTTTATTGTCCACTAATATGTCACGATCATGTACGAAAATCAGTCTGATTCCACTCTGTATAAAGCAAAAGTAGTAGAAGAAGAAGAGATTGGATTTATACCCCGCCCTTCACTTGGAGTCTCAGAGTGGCTTACAATCCCTTTCCCTTCCCCTCCCCACAACAGGCACCCTGTGAGGTAGGTGGGGCTAAGAGAGCTCTGAGAGAACGGCTCTTTCAGGGACAGTGGTGACAGAACTATGGCTTGCCCAAGGTCATCCAGCAGCTGCAAGTAGAGGAGTGGGGAATCAAACCCGGTTCTCCCAGATTAGAGTCCGCGCACTTAACCACTACACCAAACAAAAAGAAGAAATGTGTGCTGATCTACCAAAACAATGGGATGTCTCATCTAGGGTTTCCAGAATGAGGCTGCCAACCAGCATGTGACTCGCCTCCCAAAGCGGGGCCTCACCACTGACATAACGATGGTGCTGGCAATGTGCTGATGATACTCTGTTTTAACAGCGTAATACTCCTTCCTTTTTCCCCTTTTTTGGAAAAGTTGTTTCCATTTCAGAGTATGACAATAATGGAATGCCACACATATACCCTTCCTTTTTAGGCTGCCCACACCCTGACCTCTGCATGTAAACTTATCCTGAAGAAAAAGAATTCCAGTAGCACTTACGCACCTTTGCCCACTTCTTTTCCAAGTCAAAAGCTGGGGAAACATTGCATTTGACTGGCATAATCACAGGATCTCAATCTTTAAAGTAAGCTTTGCTGTGTTTTCTGAAAAATAAATGTGAAGCTCTATTAATTTATTGAATGTTTACTTGCTCCTTTGCAGTGTGACATGCGGGAACCCAATGCTCTTCGTGTTGCCCCAGTTCCTCTCTACAATTCTTTCCATGATGTGCACAGATTCATTGAAATCCTGGGATCTGCAATTACTTCTGCAGAGTGAACGACAGACACTACAGCACGTTTCTGATCTTATTGATGGCGCAGCTGTATCTTTTAAGCTGTTTCTGACTAAGATGCATCAATGCTTTTGAGCAATTTTTTGTTTCAGCTCCATTCTACCAATTTACCCCCAAAGACTGATTTTGCTTGGTTATTCACAACAGACATACTTAAAAAAAAATTAAAACTCACATTTCCACTTATGTAGGCTCCAGGAATTAATATGCTATATGTACTTAATGGGGATGGTCCTTAGTATTCTAGATCAGTTCTTAATAGTGGTTGAGCTACACAGAAGAATGGCTGCAAACTGCAGTGTTTCATGGTATAGGACAAGGCTCCATATAAAACACTATAGCTGTAGCTTATTTTACATTTTAACTGCAATCTCTTCCATTTGTAATTTGTACTAAAGTGAATTCACACATCTGCATTCACATCTAAATGCAATTTTAAGAATTCACAAAGAATATCTAAAGACAAGAACATTTATTTGGTCTAAAGGCCCATAATATTTCTCACCAACTTTGTCCTGATTTGTTGGTTGGCTTATTTCTGGCCATGGATGGGTGGCAGTTATAGTGAGGAAGGTGATAGTTAACCATTATGTTATGAAAGCAGAGTAGGTGAGGCTGGGTGATGCCTGATCTCTTTTCCATAAAGCAGTTTTTAAGACAAGCACATCCTTATACTAATACTGAAGTGGCCCCGTGCATGCGGATATCTAAATCCACGCTCCGGGGCCACCTGGGGGGCAGGGAGAGGTTTGGAGACACGTGGGGCGGTCCCCACGCCTGCAGAAAAATGAGAAACCCTGGGAAAACAATCGGGGGGATGTTTAAATCCCCCCGAAACTAAGAGAGCGTCCCCTGCGCATGCGCAGGGGACGGGAGGCCAGGACAAGCCTTGGCTGGCTGGCTGGCAGGCTGGCGGGCTGGCAGGCTGGTGGGCTGGCGGGCGGGGAGAGACCAGCGAGGCCTGGCGGCTGCAAGCCGCTCAGGCCTCAGTTAGGAGCGTGGAAAGACCGCAGTGGGGGGGGGGAGCGGCGAGACGGGGAGGGCAGGACAAGGCTTGGCGGGCGGGGAGAGAGACTTGGTTCAGAGCGGGGGGGAAAGACCGGAGCCGGGGGGAGAGACCAGCGAGGCCCGGCGGCTCCA